TCCAATAAATATGTAAGATACAGTCGGGATGAAGAAAGAAGGCATAAATCTCCCAAGACCTGCATACCAATAGGTTGGGAATGGGAAATAAATATGATTTATGAGAAGCCGATGGAAAAAAAAAAAAAAAAAAAAAAAACGACAAGAGAAGCAGCTTTTATTGAAAAACTGACCAAAACTTTTCAAACAGCAAGACACAAAACTAAACGCTTTCAAAGTTTAATTTGTTTTTTTCAGTTCTTCTTTGCCTCAAACTTCACAATAGACTTACTTTTTGATCAGATAGATAACTAAATGTAACATTTATTTTCTTTCACTAGGAGCCAGTAAGTTGGTTAATAAGCATTAAAACAACCCATAAGCCACTGAACTTCAGCTAGAGGTAGAATACAAAACATGTTTATTAAACTTTTGGCACAAAATTATTCTTAAATAATGAGATTTTAGTCTGGTCTGTTTTGCCTCTTTTGAGCTGTTTTAGAGCGTCTTGTCTCTTTAAATCCATATAAACTGCAGCTGGCCACGCCCCCCAACTTGATATTTACACTTCCACGTAAAAATGGTTTGAAACAGTCGCAATTATACAACCGTACATCTTTAGAAAGCAGAAGTGGAGCCTCGTGCACACCGAACAAGAATGCAGCAGGTGGTTTCTGGCCGCTAAGTCAACAATAAAATAGTTGTCTTTTCCAGCAGCCATTGTACAGCGCACACAGCAGTAAAACCAGCCAACCAAACATGCTGGAGCTCTTCTTGTGTTGCCTGGTAACGGGCGGAACTCTGCTGGGGTTGCTAGGTAATGGGTGGAACTCTGCTGGGGTTGCTAGGTGACGGGCGGAACTTGGTGATTTGTGATATTGCATTCCGGAGGTTTTTGAAATGGATCATTTTCCAGACATAAAAAAAAACATTAACTTATTATCAAAAACTGACTATGTGGTTTATTTTTTAAGTAGTTGTACTGTTTTTAGAAGCAGTAGAAACCCAAGTAGAAGTACAAAGAACGTTCAAAATGTGAATTTTGCACAATTCTTCCCCTTTAAATCCAATGGGTGTGTATGAAAAACTCATTTTCCAATCGGTCTGATCCATCAGAATTCAGACGATGCCACTTCCCCATTGGTATTCTTCATTATCGAGCCCCTTTATTAATTAGTGTACATCACATTAACAGTTTTATTAATCCACCCTACGGATCTTTGTGAAAGTTGGCCTCTTTTGAAAGTGTGTGTGATAGCGGAATAAACCTGAAGGCATACAAATGAGTGGGAACAGATTGGCCCTTAATTAAACGGCCTCAAGCAGCACCAGCTAATTTCACACGAACACTTCCACACTAGAAATCATGCTTCGCAATCAATAAGGTTGTCATGGCGGCCCCTGTTCCCAGCTGGGACTGGGAATACCAAGCAGGCAAACTGTTGTACGTCAGCACTGGTGGCAAATGGAGTGTAAACACACATTGATGCGCAGCAGAAACTCAGCTCCTTGCATGTAGGCTAATTTCTTTATTCACAGCTCGCTGAGTGAATCTTTTGGTTTCTGTATTTTTTATTTTTTTGTCTTGGGCCCCAGTAGGAAAACATGGTGGTGGGTCAGCACAAACTGCAAAATTGAATCCCATTAAACACCAAACAGACAGAAATCAGTTTAATTTAGCATCAAACTTGTTGCACTTTTTGATTAAGCTTTATTCAGTGACATAATCTGTTTTATTTATTGTTTTTGGTTGTTTTTGTTTTATTTTGGACAAAATAAATTCCAGTTTACTGGTCTTTGAGGTCAAACTTGCATTATTATCAATTTATGGCTTGAAAATGGTCACAAAACAACAACATTGTCATTTATTGCATTAATTTCGTTTGGCTACATTTTTATATTCAAGGCAGTTAGGCTGGATTTTAAAGCAAGGATTGGTCCACTGTAACAGATTTGTTCTTCTTAAATGTTTCAGATTATCAAATAAGTTTCATTAAAACACAAATATAACTTGAGTGAATACAAAAAGCAGTTTTGAAATAATTTCTAAAATTCCTCCATGTGAAAGACTAAATGGTAGTTAAAGTATAATTATAGTTACTGTTGTCACACATCCATTTACCTCTTGAATAAAATAATTTGCAAACTGTATTTGCCAGTCATCTTTGTTTGGTATTCGGATTTTACTGAAGCAAGACGACGTTTTGGGGTCGTAGATGGAAAAAACAGAAAATTTCTACAAAAAAAACTTTGAAATAAATTTATGAAATTTTCTAGAAAATCAAGGAAGTTTCTGAGCCTGAAAAGTTGTAACTTTACTAGGAAAACCTAAAAAATGATGGATTACTTTTAGAAATTTTTGTTTAAAAAAAACTTGGAAATTTTAGTTTCAAATGAATGTTGATAATATTTTGATCTGTCAGATTGTGTAATTTTATCAGTTACTCAGTACTTTTTTGTTTTTACTAAATACATTTTATTCGAGTAATTTCTTGGACAGATACTTTCTACATTTACTTGAGTAATTTTTTTTATTATTATTTTTAATAAGTTTAAAGTTTTAAATTGAAAGAAACTGATTTGGAAACTTTTTCTTTAGCCTCATTTTGTTCCTTTTTGTTTGAATTATTGTCATTTTGCTTCTTAAAATACCAAAATTTCCACTTAAATTTATATTTTGGTCCATCTGATTATGTTATTTTTAAATATTAGATGTTAATTTGATTAATTACTCAGCACTTGAGACTTTTTACCAAATACTTTTTCCTCTTATTTCTTGGACGGCTACTTTTTACTTTTACTTGAGTAAAAATATGTTAAAGTAGTGATAATTTTACTTATACTCATTTGCTACTCTCTTCTGTTTTATGCCTGTTTTACCACATTATTTTGCTCAGATCACATAAATTTGCAGCTACACACCAGACGACGCTTTGGCAGGCGGTTTTGTTTTTAAGAACAAATGAGGGAGGAAGAAATCAGAGGAGTTTGACCTGATAGGACCGGCTACATCAAGCAGCTGCTGCTGCAAAATAAGAGATTTTCTCAGTTGGAAATGAAGGAAATGCCACTGATCAGTTGTCAGTGTGGTCAGGAATATTTCACACTAAAGTATTGAGAAGGTGATGAGAAAATCATGACCAGATAGATTTATTGGAGTTTGGAAAATTCATTTATTGTATCCGTAACAAATAGGAAACCAATTTGTTTACGTTCTGCGTTTCTAAAAGAAAGAAAAAAGTGAAAATTCAGATTTTTTTGTTTGAGTATCAAAATGAAGGAGTTTTTCCTCCTCGGCTCTGTGTTGTCCAGAGTCCAGTCCTCATTTTGAGATGATCTGAAGGTCAGAGGGACTCTGACAGCAGAGAGGTGAAGTTGCTCTCTGATGTCCTCACCTGTCAGGTTGCTTCAGCAACGTCGGGCGGCTGACAGCCGGACTTCCAGACTGACCGGCAGCTGATGGCTTCTGTCAACAGACTGATTTAAAGGAGCTGGGGAGACGGGCTGCAGCAGAGAGCTGGAGAGGATGAGCGTTACACCTCACTGAGGACAGCTCTACACCAAGATGATGAAATCTTTAATATAGAATATCATGTAGTCTTAAAGGACTAGAGAAACTCATCCTTTTATCTTTAGTTGCATTGATTGCTGCGACAGTTTTGTCCTAAAAACCCCTCAAACCTCCCGCTGCAGCTGATCCAGAACGCTGCTGCTGGGTTCTGACTAAACCCTGGAAGATGGAGCATATCACCCAGAGTTTAAAATATTGCTGGTAGTTTACAAATCGGTGAAGCTGCTGGTGTCGTATCGACCCTCCACACCTCTCAGGTCTTCTTATTCTGGTTCTGCTCTGCATCCAGAACCAGAATCACAAGTAGAAGCCATGAATAAACTGGCAAAAACAACTTTGGAAAACATTTTCAGTCACTCTGTTCAACACTCCCATCCCTCTCGTCCGTCCTGGTCGATACCGGAACGATGCAGATATTAATATCAGAAATGTTTTTCTTCATATTTAAATATTCATCAAACTATGGGTGATTTTTCTGCAGTGCTTTAATTAGGACATTTCCACTGATGATCCAGAGCTTCTCATGCAGCTGGTCTGTAAGCAACATGTTTATTTCTCTGCACACTTCAGAGCCTGGCGGTGAAAACGAGCTGCAGCTCGGCGCCAACCTGTCCAGCTAATTGGCTCACTTCAGCGAACGCCTGTCCTCCGAACGCCTGATTATTAGGTTCTAATCGAGGCCAAACCGATCCACTTCCTTTGTCTCTGCTAGTTTGTCTCCTTTAGCTGTTTGTGTCAGTCGTCTGGGCAACAAGCTGAAGCAAACGTTCAGCTTTTTCTACAAAAAAAAAAAAAAAAACAGAAAAAAAAGATTTATTTTATTTTTAAGGAATCTGGAGTACTTTGGTTTATTAATAAGCCTTCTTTCTTTCAGTGCAAAAACAAAGTTGCTGTGAAAAATACTTAAAATTAATTTATTTTACGCAGGAATATGAATTAAATCAATTCTGATTGATTCTTAAACTGTTTAAACAAACCAACAATCAGAAAACGTTCTAGTTGAAAACAAGTAAGTAAAACACAGAAATGAGAAACGATCAAAAATCTTTAACCCATTTTTTCCTTCCACTCAACTTTCTTTCATTTACTTGAATGCATTCAGCTTATTTAGCACAGAGCCTCATTATTCCTGTCTTCTTGACTGTCAACTTTAGATTTTTTGTTTAAGTCGGGCGGTTAAGCTAAACTAGTAGCCTAATATTTTAATTTAAGTTACAGATTTTTTTTTTAATTACACATTCAATTTTGCTGGGATTATAATTAGATTTTTATGTTTAATCTGAAGAAAAGGCTAAGCTAAGAAATTTTTGATAAGCTTTCCAACTTTTCCTAAGGAATTTTTGCAAAAATATTCCAGCATGAAGTTAAAAACAGTGGAAATGTGTCATTTTGAGTTTTACTTTTCTGAAACTCCAACCTGTAAATGTTTTTGATTATTTGCATTTTCAAGCTGTGTGGCATCACAGTGGTGCACACTCGCTGCTGTGGAGTGGGAGGTGATGTTGACAGGCGGAGCCGTCACGGCGGAGATGCGCTTGCGCATTTCTGCGCAATTCCAAACGCGTCTCTACACCAGCCGGAGCGGCTTGGAGCTCCAAAGCTTCTCCAAACTGCGCGCACGGAGCGGAATTTCTAACCCGGAGAAGTGAACATATCCACGGATTTTACTCCTGTTTAACCAGATCTCAAAGCTGGACTTCATCTTAGCGCACAGGAGGATCAATCAGCGATCAATCAGCGCTGCTCACCTGGTAATTATCACTCAAACTCCGCACCGCTCTCTGCTCCAACTTCATCTTTCTCCAGCTCTTCGCTCTTTGCTGTTTTGTTTTTTTGCAGAACTTCCCAGCATGAATCAAACCGCGGGAGCCACCAATGCGTACCGCAGATGCTCCAAAGGAGGGAAGGTGAGCGGAACTTTCTGTGACAAGTTTGGATCTGGTCTGAACGCGGCGCTAATTAACGCCCACGCCGCCGCAGCGTGTGGGGGGGAAAAATGGCGGAAGCTCAGAGTTGGGGCTTCACGCAGCTTTCGGCTCGGTTTGACATCTATAATTAATGCAGGCACGAAAAACTGAATTTGGAAACTTTTTACTGATGAAAACTGAACTTTTATATAAAACTTTTCTTGAAATTTTGTTGATTTTTAGCGATGGGGTTTGACAAAATGCGATGTCTGCCACCGGGTTTCTCAATTCTTTTTATATCATTTTGTAAATGTGACTCATCTGGTTAGTTTGGGCCATTTTTAACAGGAACGTGAAATGATCTAGTCCTGGTTATTTTTATCTTTTTATTTACTGTCTCTCGTCCAAACTCGTGTCTTTTTCCGGTTTTGTGACCTACATTACTTCTGCTGCTGAGGGGAGAGATGGAGGATGTGGGAGGACACAGAGGGGACAGCATGACAGTCTTTTCCTCAAAGAGGAACAGAACCAGGCTCTTCCTCTACAGATGTGCTTCTGTCAGCATCGGCGCAGATGACGAATGAATGCTTATCATGAGAATACATGACACCTGCAGGGAGCCTCTACTGCAGATCCCTGGCTGGTTGAAATATCGATTTGTGCTGCTGCAAGCATCTAGAGATGATGGAAGAGGTTCTGTTTAGAAACTCTGCTAAATGACTGGTTTGGATTGAAGTGATGCTGTTGAGGTGTTTAGTGTTCGCTTTAATGAAGACTCAGACTTGTTTGTCTTATCAACAGATTTATAGGGACTTTTGTTTAATGTTTTCTATAATTTCTGCTTTTTTATTGGGATATTCTTATGTTGGTTGTTTTTATAGGCAGTTAAATATTCCCAGGATTTCTTCCCATTTTCTCCAGGAGTGCTCCTATATTCCTGACATTGGGGGCTCAGCCCACTGCAGGCATTTATACCTGATTGGATAAGCTTTTTTTTTCTTTTTTTTTAAAGTTTTGTCTTATTTTTACATTTACAGCTCTGGAAAAAATTGAGACCATTAATCTGATCAGTTTCTCTGATTTGACTCTCGACTCAAACATATATCTATGAACATTGTTTTATTCTACTACTGACATGTTTCTGACATTTCAAGCAAAAATTTTGTATTAGCAGGAAATGAGAAAAAAGATGCATTTCTTTCAGACCTCAAATAAAGCGATGAAAACAAGTTTATGTTCATTTAGAAATGACAATATTAATGTTTTAGAAATCAGTATTTGGTGGAAAAACCAGGAGATTTTCAATGGGGCTCAGTGCAGTGGACTCCGTTTATGTTTTGTTGAAAATTTTAATTGTTCAAAATGAAAGCAGAAAAGAAATGACTTTAAAACGCAGGCTTCTCAGAGATGAATCACTGGGACACATGCATCATTGTTGTTCAGTATTGATGGATTTTCTGTTTAACACAACTCAAAATTATTTGAAGTATTTTCATACATTTCTTCCCTGTTGAGCAAATCTAAAATATTTGAAAGTTCAGCTCAGGAAGCTGAAATATGGATGCAATGCCACTTGATGCAGCCAATCAAGGAGCGACATTCATTTGTTTCACTTCCTGGGAGCAGACTGGATGATTTATGTAGGAGACGGTTTCTGTTCGTATTTATGCATATTAACCTTTTAAGTTTCAAATCTCCTCCTGGATATTGTTGCTTATTTTAATTGTATAAAGTTCTTTAAATGTCCCGTGAGTAAATATTTTTGACAAATTCTCCATAACTTTAACATTCAATATCTGGCAGTTATTTAGACATTTACTGTCTATAAACAGTGTTTCATCAGATTAAACTAAAGAAAAACATGCTCCCTGCAGCGGCGGGAGTGAAATTACTGTAATAACCTGATACTGGCTGGAAAGCACAACGTCTCCCCTTTCAAAAACTGTTAGAATGTTTCACATAACACAAAGTATCGCAGAGTTATGGTACTGCAAAGTTGGCTTGTAAAACTGTCATCAGTGACGCCCTCGGCCAATGAGGGTTGAGATATATTTGATGTTTGAACTAGTAAAGGGGCAATATTATGTTAATTTATAGCACAATAGAGTAACTAGGTTAACTTAGTTTGTTAATATATATATATATATATATATATATATATATATATATGACTTAAAAGAAATTTGACTTTAATTTCATGCCTTGAAATTGGCCCTCTGTCTCTTTAAAAATCTTTCTGAAGCTCCGCCTTCAGGAAGTCATCACAACATGGCTCCTCTGTTAACCCTTTAACAAAGTTTTTACTAAGAAGTAGCTCCTATAATGAGCTCAGCAGATGTGCAGTTCCACCAGGTGTTTGCTAATTGCTGCTGGCTAGTCTGAAGGAGCTGAATGAGGGTTAATCTGTGAGGCTGAAGCTCAGAAACTGCAGCTCAGAGGAGGAGCTGTGTCTAGAAGGCGGGGCTACGTCCACCCAGGCATTTTGCTCAGCTGAATGGTTGCCATGGGGCAACCATTAGCAGGTGCTAAGCCCAGTGCTAAGGGGCAGTCATCCAGCCGGCAGCCATGTTTTTGAGTTAAGAAATGTTTAAAGTTGACAGGAAAAAAAAAAAAAAAATCACTTAGTAGTTATTCCTAATTGGAAGGCTGGAAGATTAAAACCCAAACACCAACTACAAAGTCTTAAAAAAAAAGGCAATAATTAAAAATAAATAAACAATGCTAAGCCTGGTGGGGGCACAAGTAAAGCCTGGTGGCCCGCCAGGCTTATAAGGCACTGTGGAAACCCCTGATTTCCCAAACATGAAATGCAGAACCACAGCAACTCCCCAGGTGAGGGAATAACATTAAAACACGATGTAAAGCTCAAAAAAGTGAATTTTGCATAATACTAAAACTTTTAAATGATTTTAAAGAGGATCTCATGTATTTTCTTTTTGTTTGTTTTGGACCCTAATCCTCATAAATACCATAAGCTTTATTGACCAAAAGTGGTTCAGTTTATTATCTTAGTGCTTTTAAATTGATTTTATTGTAAAACTTAAAGCAATGTGATGCCATCTGCTGAATTCTTTCCTTTTTAGGACACCAATCACATAGAAAAGTTGTATTTCTATCACTAAGCTGCACATATTGGAGAAAATAGTAAAACTAACAATTTTTACTGTTTTTACCCCAAAAATATGGACATTTTTTGGGGGCTGAGGGTTAAAACATGATTTAAATTAAATTTCCTTTGGGATTAATTGGATATATGCACACTTATAAGTAAAACTCTGGTGTTTCAGCTTCAGTAAAATTAAATATTAACATCTTAAGCTATATTCTAATAATGAATTAATGTGTTTTAGGTATATTTCCTTACATTTAGAGTTTTGGGACATGTTTCTGAACATTTAGCTCGTTTTGTTGCTGCTGGTGTTTTTCCTCTGCTTTTGTTTTTATTCCCAGCAGGTTGACTTTATTATCCATGTAATATTTATGGTGTCCTTTCTCTCCCAGCTTGTTTCTAATTCCGGTTCGTTTCATCTCATCTTTCCCACCGACGACGTGTGAGGAAAAATAGACAAAGCGGCTCTCCAGACAGCAGTTTCTGTTCCAGCCACAATAATCCGCAGCATCAAACTCTTTTATTGTTTCTCCTTTTTTTTTTTTTGTAATTGTGCCCATTTTTAAAGCTTTGGAGAATGAGAACATCTCTCTTTTGATGAGCATTTGTTTTTGTCTTTGGGTTTGCAGTCGTGTTGAGACGCTGCGTTGTGAATTATTGGCTCGGCTCGGGTCTGTGTGTTGGACCGGATGAGCCTCCGACGGTCACGGCTGTCCGCTCCAGACGGCAGCCTGACAGGTTCATAAACACCTGAGAGGAAAAGAGAGCAACTGGGCTGCTTCTCTAGATTATTTTCGGATACTTGAGAAATCTATTTGACAGCGCGGAGAAATAAGACTTAGGTGAAGCTTTTGGAAGCAGCGTTGTTGCTGCTGTTGGATATTTGTAACGGAGAGCGCACTGGGACCAACCAGACAATAAACCAGAGCAAGAGTAGCAACATATTTTTATTCAAGTAGTTATCAAGAGTAAAAATATTTTGCAAAAAGTCGACTCAAGTGCTGAGTAACTGATCACAGTTCCATTTAAAATTTATAAAATATAAAGTTTTGGTATTTTAAGGATGAAAATGAGAGTAATTCATGTATAAGTAATGAAAATGACTAAATCTGTCAAAAGAAAATGTTTCCAAATGAGTTTCTTTCAATAAAAACTTGTGAAACTTTAAATCCAGAAACTTTACTCGAGTAAGAATAAAAAGTAGCCGTCCAAGAAATTACTTTAGAATTAAAAAAAGTCGACTCAAGTAACTGATCAAATTATCAATCATTTGATATTTAAAACTACAAAATAAGACAGACCAATTATAAAGTTATATAAATAATGTCAGTTTGGTCCTTAAAATACCAAAATCTTCACATAAGTAAAAAAAACAACAATCAGGCAAAATTATTTTTCTCCAAATCGGTTTTTTCAATTAAAAACTTGCCTATATTTAATAATTATTCACTTAGAACAAGATAATATATCTTATTCAAAAGGTACTTGTGAGCAAAAATTGTATTCAAGTAAGAGTAGGACTACTTCAACATACTTTTACACTCAAGTAAAAAGTAGCCATCCAAGAAATTACTTAAGAATAAAATAGTATTTGGTAAAAAATGTACTCAAGTACTGAGTAACTAATCAAATTATCAATCATTTAATATTTAAAAACTACATAATCGGATGGACTAAAATATAAAGTTACGTGGAAATTTTGTTATTTTAAGGATGAAAATGAAAATAATTTGTATAAGTTGCAAAAAAATAACAATCAAGCAAAATAAAATGTTTCCAAATCGGTTTTTATCTGTAAAAAACTTATTGATGAACTTTAATAAAAGCTGCGGGTGTTTGTCTGTCTGTCTGAATTTTGGTTAAAACATGTTTGTTCTTTCATTCAGTGGGTAAAAAATCCAGAAAATTTACTCAAGAAGAGAAGAAATACTTTATAATAAAATTACTAAAGTAGATGTAAGAGCACAGCATAGTAACATTTCTTCTAAAAGTAATTTTATTTTTCCAAAAGTTACTTAAGTAACTAACTAGTTACAACCCAACTCTACCTTAAGGTACAGATTCAGTTATCCTGACTTTCATTTTTACCTATTTTAATTTTGAATATTTCAAACATGATGGCAGTATAAATGTAATGTTCGAGTTCATATTTTCTGTCTTCAAGTTGTTCTGAGACAATTAATCAATTGGAATAATCAACTAAATTAATAATCGACTAATTGAGTGCAGACTTGGGGGGAAAAAGGGGAAATTTTCTGAGGGAAAAACGAAATAAGAGCCAAAACTGTACAATATTTATACACATTCTGCATTTAAGATAAAGTTCTTAAAATGGTTTAGTTTTAGATTCACTTATACTCAAATTAAACACCTTTTGCTATTTAATTAATTGCTTAATGCAAAAAACAAATTGTTGCATTTTACGTAATGTATAAATGTTTTATTTAAAAAATGAATTGAATGTATTTCTGATGTATAAAAGTCAATTTTATTTTATTTCCCCATCTGCTATATTTCAGTGTTTTTACTTTTATTTCTACTTTTAATAATTTAAATTGTTTTAAATTCAAATTTTATTCATCCTTTGCTCTGCACGTTTGTGGTGGCTGCTGCTCTTAAATGAGCTCTGCTCGGCAACGACCTTTTAAAACTTCAAGGTCTTTTTCACATTACATCCAGTTTCCAAACTTAAATGAGAAGAGATCCTGACTTATCAGCTTTTCATTAATACGATTCAATACGAGGAACGAATGGATGGAGGAAAGAAAATCCTTCATCCTGTCGATATATAATCCACTCTAATGTATTGAGATACTTTGGGTTTATACTTTTTAGATGGCTTCTTCTGTTAAACTCAGTATTGAGGCAGAGAAGTGGTGAAATATTTATGCTGAAAGTGAGAAAACAAATGAATAAAACAAGCCAATCTTCTCAGTTTTTGTCTGATTGTCAGGCGGGATGCGGCGGTAAAAGGTCGCCTGTTGAATCGTCTGATACGACGCCTTCCTGGGAGGATCTGCAGACGTTCCTGTGAGAATCGGCCCTTTTTGCAGCTGCTGATGTATAAACATGTTTTTCCTTCTCTCGCACAAAATGTACACAAACCAGGAGTTTGAGTCAGATCGTCTCCCTGCTGGCTGACCTGATGACTCACTGCAAACTCTGATGATTATGTTTTTCCTTACTGTAATTTCATGATCTTCCTGGTTGCCGTTATTACTCATAATTCATTTTCTGTTTCTAAACTATGCAGTTTAGAGTCTTGTATGATGGATTAAAGTGTGGATTCAATTAAATACATTTCATTATTATGAAATGTTGACATTATGTGACTGTTGACATTATGTGACTGGCATAATATGCCAGTGGAAGTCATAAAGTACGATCCCGTGCATTAAATTACACTTTAAGAGGTTTTAAAACAGTTAATTTGTGCTTGATTTGAGCTTGTTTACAAATTTGAACCAACAGTGCATTGCCATTTCAGGAAGTGGAAAAGTTTTAAAAAGCGATTTTAATTTTACTTAAAGAACAAAAAAAATCAACTATTTTACTGATTTTTAAATTAATACACCTGATATCCGCATGGACCAAAACCATTCATAAATAACTGTTTTAATAGTTTAAACACCAAATACACCATAATATGTGTTAATGCAAACAGAGGAAACATATTTTGCTCTACAGCAGAAGCTAACATCACTGGTCTATGGGTTCAACCAATCGGCGAAAAGGAAAAGGCACGAAGAAGGCGGGCTCTCCTCTGATAGGTGTATATGGGTGCGTTCACACTGCAGCCTGAAGTGACCCAATTCCGATTTTTTTGACGTAATGCGACCTGTGTCCGATCTTTTCATGGCAGTGTGAACAGCACAGGTCGGATTCTTTTTCGAATGTGACCCATATCCGATACGTATCCGATTCAAACGCGATCTAACGTCCAGGCCGCATTCATCCGAACTGAACGTCACCGTTTCTCAACAAATCTCACTATTCTGCGTCCTGATACGCACAAGCGGGAAGAAAAACAACAACCATGACGAACTATATGAGGATTAAGTTGTTAATATGCTGCTCCGGTTGGACAACTTCAAATATATAAGCTAAGCTCCACCGTTAGCCTCCATGTTTACTTCCGCAAACACTGAGCACTTCTTCTTTTTATGGCAGTTGGCAGAACACTGACACTATGGCGCCCTCTACTGCGCATGCGGGACACTTTCAGGTCGTTTGCCCCTTCACACTGCAGAACGCATACAGGTTGCATTTACTGGCAGTGTGAATAGCCCCAGCAAAAAATCTGAATTGGGTAACTTTGAGCTGCAGTGTGGACGCACCCTATGAGGTTTATGTAGGTTGCCCAGTCAGAGTTGACTCATGGTTGCTAAAAACGTTACAAGACCTGACCGACTTATGTAATGGGTGTAAAATATCAAATAAAATGTTGTGCTACACGACTGGCTTTATTTTCACTCTCAACTTTATGATACACAAAAGTTAAACGTGTGTCATAACACACGTTTAACTTACCATTAGCTGTTGAATGGATCGCCCATATTGTCTCCAAGTGTATTCTGGGTAAAGCTCGTCACCAGCTGTCCACCAACGTCATCATCAGTCGCATGGCAACAAAATGCTCTAGCAAACTAGCTAGAGCATTTTTACGGACTAGGTTAACACGAGTGGAGCTTCATACAAGCATAAAAGTGGAGCGGCAAAGCAAAAGAAGGAAAAAGAGAGCAAGGAAACTGGACGCATATTTTGTTCGTCGTCTTGGAGATGAACCGGACTTTTTGTTGGCAGCGATTCAGGCCCGCCAAAACTGCCCACCCAGCCAGGGAGAGGGGCTAGTTACAGGTAGCAACTCTAACATTATTCACAATGTGTGAGTTAACTGTAGACTGATTATGAATTGTAGCGGCCCAACCGCCTTTATATCCCCTTTTTTCTCTCTCAGCGGTGATGTCTGGGACTGAAGGATGAGTTATAGTCGGAGCCAAGGCAGCAGAATGGCGTTTATAGTTGAGGCTTAAGTTAGAACCGCATGCAAGAGCATCTACCAGATCGTCCAGTTTGTGTGAACGGCTGTTGCGTACCTGGTCCAACGCGTCAGCAATAAACTTCCAGACTCAGATGAAATTGATAAAATGTCAAAATGATCTAATCGCTATCCGTGGTGCTGAACTGCTGGTGTACCAGGGAATCCTCTCAGTAATGACTGAGAAGTCCTCAGCGAAGCTCTGATCTCTTGCTAGCTGTGTTTCATTTGACCAGAACATAGGGAACTACAAAAATAAATTTGATAAGTGGAATTTAAAAGTTTTGCGGTAGGATGACTTGGTTTTTCAGCTGTATCAAAATTAGAGTATTTCACAAAACTGCAATGGAATCACTTTTTTCGCATCACCAGTCGTGATCAACATCCGGCTGTTACTACTGCTGGAAATGACGAAGAAGACAACAGGAAGTACTTGGAGGATAAACTTATTGCGTGACTTTAATTGGATTTCTGATTTAATGGAAACACTGCCATTGTGATATTGAGTTTTTTCGACATTAGGAGAAGATTGAGAAAGTTTTGCGCACATTTTTAATGGAAACTTGACTACTAGTGATGCTGTGGTCAGATTTGATAAACTGGTGAAGTCTCAATGAAGTTTTTGAAGGTGAAGTAATGTTGTTCTACAAATTTAGATCGTATGTCATTGAGTTAATCAAGGTAGTGTTTTGTTCAATTTTTAACTAAATTATTGACTACATATTAACTTTCATCGATTGATTAAATAGAGCCAATAAACAACTTTATTTATCCCAAAAAGGGAAATTCAGTTCACAGCTGTATGGTCAACATGACAAAAAGAATAGAAAAAAAAAAACAATCTCATGCAGGCATTTCAGGATCAAAACACATTCTGTCAGTTCAAGAAACTTTAAGACTCTTGTGAAATTCATAAGAGACAAAAAAAAAAAAAAAACGAAAACAAAACGGGCTCCTTGGCTACTCACAACTACAATTTAGAAACCACATTTTCTGTGGGGAGCAACTTAAAGTTTTGGGGTTCCAGAGTAAAGGGGGTTGAATGTCTGGCATAATTTTTAAAATACATCTTTCTTCCAATTTTCAACTGTACACCACTTTGTGTTGGTGTATCTTAGTCAAACACGTTGCAATTTGATTTGATTAAATGACAAAACACTATTAAATGTAATAAATTTTATACGTATTGAAAGTTTTACAGTGTTTTGAAAGCAGGAATTGGGTTTAGAGATAAGATGACATCTGGTAACCAGTAGAGGGCAGTGTTGCACTGTAGGGAAGTGAGCACTGAGAATCCAACAATCACAACAACACTGCCATGTTTTTTTTTGTTTTTATTGTTTATATTTATCATACAGCATCTCTACTTGTCTGGATCAGATTTACAATCTGTTTCCAATTCTAATCTGGCAAATATTTAAATATTTGGCTCATTCTTTCTAAAATAAACATTTTTTCCAAATGATTTTGCTGCAATTTTAGTGGTATAAATGGTATTTCTCGGTTTTATATAACCCGTTGTCTCTCCTGGATCATTCCACAATATAACCTTTCCTCCGTCTGTGTCTCCAGTTCCTGCTGCTTCCTTTTCTTTTCTTTTTTTCCCCTCTCTCCTCTTGGTCACAGCAGGATAGTTTGATTATCTTGGCCCCTGACAGCCCTGCGGTACTGCATGTGCACACTAAGTCCCAATTAGCTCCCTCCGGTTTCAGAACGTTTGCAACGTTGCTAATCTCTGCATCAGCAAAAGCCAAGAAAATCCCCCCGTTATCGCCCTCCGATCGTTTTTGATTTACAGATTCATGATGAGAATATGGAAGTTTCATTTCGGTCCCTCTTACCTGATTGTGCAAACGTTTTAAGCCACCCCTTATTTCATCACATTTCACTCCCAATCAGTTTAAATGTATTTACACTCCTTTAAGTTTTTTTTATTGTCACATTCAAGCAGAGCCGGCCCAATACATAAGCTAGTTAAGAGGCTGCTTAGGTCCCCCAGGCCACCAGAGGGCCCCCCAAGTGCACCAAGCTAGCATAACCTATATTTAAAATAACATTAAATAATGCTAACTAAATGATATTACACATGGACAAACAATTTCCATATTGTTTTTTGTAGTTGTACAATCAAAAAGGATTTTGAGATGCAGAGTGGTGTTTAAGTGCATCATATTTTATTTGAAAGTAGCACCAGCTGGTAAATTTTTTTTTACAGAAAACAAGTAGGATATGAAAATGTGAAAAGAAAAATGGAAAAAGTACATTTTTTGTTTGCTACTTTTATTAGGTTAAAATCAATAAACATAACACTGGTATGATGTAAATTAATTACAAATGATGCTATTGACAACAGGTAGGATACGGTTGAAGAACTCATAAGTGTTTTATATCAGTTGATATCGACAATTATTGATTAGTTTTTTGTTTTAAATATCTGAAATACTGCCAAACTGGTGGTGTGACCTTTTCTGTTTTATCCAATTTTCACTCCATGCCATTGTTTTTTATTTTGAAGCATTTATGAGGTGAAACCTGAAACTGCTGCTGCACCAGTTACTAAGCAGGTTGTTGCTAGGTAACCAAAGAAGGAGCGTTACTAGGTAACCAAAGAAGGAGCGTTACTAGGTAACCAAAGAAGGAGCGTTACTAGGTAACAAAAGAGTTACCTATAACTCTGAGTTATAGGTAACTATATTTGATTCCACCAATCTTGCTTAGCTGTTGAGCAGATAGTCTTTCGTCTGCCTACATCTCCCAGAATGCTGTGCGGTTCAGGCTCGGAGTTCAGTGAAAATTTACATTATATTTAACATTCTATCAGATATTTAATATAATGTAAAACTATTGTTTTGTATTGGGCCTTTGTAGATGGAGTACATTTTTGTCAAACTAAGATTTTCTAGAAAAAACAAGGAAATTTTGGAGCTCCAAAAGTTGAAAATCTGCAAGGAAAACCTCAGATTTTGAAATTAATCTCAGAAATTTTCAAGGAATTTTCTAGAATATGAAAAACCAAATATTAGTAAAACTTCAAACTCAGAAATTTCCTAATTTTTTGCTAGAAAATGCCAGACTAATCTAAAAATTTCTGAGTTTTTTTTGGCAGAAATGCCACAGTTCTGTTCAGTTGAATTCACCCACATATTTTAATGTAATTTCTCTTTGGGATTAATAAAGTATTTTTCAATATAAATATGCAGCATAGATCTTTGTTTCAAAATGCTCACTTAGTCATTTGTTTCACCAACTAGCAGCAACACATCCATTCATCATATTTCTGTTGACA